TGTCTGTATTGGATCTCCTAAATAAATATCATGCTTTGTTTTCTGAAGCCTCATTCTTGCATAAATCCTCAGAGCTAATACATATGCTTTTCCACAAAGGAAACCAAGCAGCATCAACATTTGGCTCTTGGTTGTTGTTAAGTACGCTTTTTTAACATATAGAAAAAGGAAAAAAGAAAACAAAGAAAGTGGCCTTTGCCAGAAATTGCTGATGCCATTAACAGAAGGGTGGTTGGCTGTTTGCAAGGAAATACTAGTCTTTCACTAAAGTCCCAAAATGTTTGGTTTGGTACCTTGCCCATCAAAATAAATCAAGGCGACAGATTAGGAAGTACATAAAACTATATCTCTGGATAATGATATACGAGACCACAATAAATATAAGTTACATGTTGGAGCTGCTGGCAGTTATGGTTAGAAACCCGTAACTCATTCATTTAACCCTGGCGGAATGTTTGTCTTTTAATTACAATTAAACAGCGTACTTGAACATTTCTCTCTCTCTCTCTCTCATATGAACTGCATGGAGAGAGACAAGAAGGAGAGACAGAAAGAAAAAGAGGGAAACTAGAGAAGATAAGAGACTGGAAAAATCCTGAGACATAATTTGCTAACTGGCAGCTTAGGGAGCTAAGCCACGGTACCTTATCCTATAGCACTGCGGGGGAGGGGGGCTTGTCGAGAGGGAGAATGGAGAGGGGGTTTGTGGGGGGTTTAAGCGCACACATGTAATTGTGTCTTAAGTTGAAAACATCCCATCCAGTTTTTTTATAGGTTTGTGGTTTTTTTGCAATTGCCCCTTTTCAGAGAATTACCTCTCCAAACAATATTTGAAGCCACTGGAAATAAAAGGGAGTGGGGAACACAGCGTCTCCACAGCCATCACCACCACCCTTGGCCTCTTGGAAGTCCCATTGCCCATGGGGGGGGGGAGGAAGGGAGAGAATTTTTCTAACGCATTATTTTGTGGCCACCGAAGCCCCTGTGAAGTGTTTCCTCCACTGCTGCTTCCTTGCTGTTGAAGAAGCATTGGTTTCCATCACCAAAACTTTATTTATTTATTTATTTATTTGTTCACTCATTCATTAAAAAGTAAGAAATACAACTTATAATCAGTGTGACTTCACACAAACTGGGCGTCAGGGACTCACTGGAGCGCTCCCGAGCAAGTCTCTAGGCTCCAAGGAGCTTATGACACCCCCTCCACAAACATTCTCACCTTTCGTCTGACTTCTCCTCCTTCTTCTTTTGGCTCAAGAAGATAAGTGAAGAACAATAATCCGGGCATGATTTAATAGTGAAATCGATGCCATTCGAGAGGAGTAGAGGAGCCCAGCCCCTTGGTGCCATGCCCCAAGTGGGGGCAAGGAAGGAGCACAGACTTTGGTATCAAGAGGCGGTATCCATCCATTCGGTGGAGCGGGGAGCGATTTCCTGGAAAGCCCTGCCAAGACTGCAGTCTTGAGCTCCCCAGGAGACCTAGGAGCACTGAACATCAAGTCCATCAGGTTTGAAAGAGGAGCCCATGGAAAGACCAACCATGCTACTGGTGGTGTGACGATAGGCTTACTACCAGCACCACCCGTTCTACCCGTCGAGGCATAGTGTGCAACAGCCAGCAACAGAGAACATTGATCCCTCACAACTTTTCTTTTCTAGTTCCTACGTGCCAGAGGAAATGTAGCTCTTTTGGGCTGTCCCTATAGAAACCATCAAGAGCGCCTGGTAGAACCTGAATAGACTAGCAGATTTCCCCACTTTACCCCTTTCCACTAAAGGAGACAATTTTTTATTTTATTTTTTAAAAAGAAGCAACCATCGTCGCCATCATAGCTATGCGTTTTTAAACTGCTTTAAAAGAAAAAGAAAAACTTTTAAAGGAAACTTACTTGGCGTTGGGAACTTCGCTCTTGCCATAGGATAGCCAGCTGGGAAATCTTCCAAGCTATGGGAAGGCGGGAAAATGAGAAGGGAGGCTTGGCCGAAACTTCACCCTGCCTTCTTTTCTCTGGGGTTATTTTGGTGACAACACAATGAGATAACACGCATTGAATCTGCCCAAACCCTCACTCTCTCCCGGCCGCCCTCCCCACCCACACGGCCTTCTATTACTATGGTAATTTAAAAAAAAAAAAAACCACCACAAAAAAGTCCAAACAGTGGCGATGCCTTTAAATGTGTGTAGGGAGCAGAGAAGGTACACGTTGGGAGACTTAACTCAGGTCACTGGGGGCTCGGAGGTCAGCCTGAGTGGCTAGAATAAAACTGCTGGCGTAGAAAAGTTGTCCTCTGGGTGAACCTACTTTCCACCACCCCCCTTTACCCGAACTTCAATAAAGTAGCTTTCAGGCTCTCAACATGGAGGCGTCAAAAAGCTTTTTAAAAAAGAATGGGGAGAGAAAGAGCAAAATGGGTGAAGAGAGACGGTGGGGCAGGCTGTATCTCATCACCTCCCCCCCCCCCGTTTCTTTTGCCCCTGCTGCCTGCCTTTATAATTCATTCATAATCTCCCTACCCTGGAAGAATTGTGTCATGGCCAAGTCTAAAGGCCAAATCAGATGCTGAAGAATCAGAATTATTAAACCAGAAACAAAAACGAAACAAAACAGGAGGGTGACAAGATTGCAGAAAGTAAACACTGAAGAGAACTCCAGGAGGAAAATAAATAAAATAAAGTTGGGGACGGGTAGAGAACCGTGGAAAGGAATATATGGTCATATATTTAAATATGAAGTTACTGAGAGGGTGCTGGTATTTTTAATTGAATATGCAAACTATACAGTTGCAAATGTGATTGATGCCTCCTTTTCCGGGCTTCCTAGGCAGACACAGAGAATGCACGCAACACAAAGTCCTATCATATTCTTCCTGATTCTCTCACAGACACTTGGTTATAATTTATCAAGTTCTGCAGGCAGGGTGTGTGGGTGTGAAACTTAAAAAAAAAAAAAAAGTTTAGCACAGCTACACACTCACACATAGTTTACCAAGTCACTACCAGTAGAAGCCATTGTAAATTTCACACGTGTGTGTGTGTGTGTGTGTGTGTGTGTCAGAGTTTGAAGATCAGCTTTGCAACATATGGCCATTCAGTTGGCAGCACCATTATTCCTAGGTTAGGATTCCCCCCTCCCTTTGTTCACTTTACCATTTATATGCACAGAGTGCGTGTGTTTGTGTGGGTGTGTAAAAAAATCGGGGGGGGGGGACTGGTTGCTGTTCTCTTTTATCTTACCCTAGCAATAGAGTAGGGAGACTAAGTCTGTGTAACAGAAGGGCAGATAAACAAGCAGACAGACACCTGAGAGATTTAACTTGCAGCCCTATCTTTTGCATGCTTACTCAGAAGTAAATCCCACTATGTTCAGTAAAGGTATTCTCTAAAATAAGTGAGTGAGATTCCTGTTTCCCCTCACTTGACCTAATGTAGTAAGGGTGAACAAGCAGGCCCAAGAGTGATAAGAAAACATTCAAAGCAATTGCTAACATGCACACTCAACATTCCCCTCGCTTGCTTCGAAAAACTGGAATTGTGAAAACACTGTTAAAGGTTTATGACTAGCTATTATGTTAATGAATGGATTTATTTCATACTATGCAAAAGGAGATGGAGTTTCTTCAAAGGAATACTACTAACAGGCAGAGAAGAGTCATCCTGATTGGTTGATACCCATGACACTTTGACCATTAGCTTCTAAACTGATCTGGATTACAGCCACTATGTGTAATTCTGGCCTGCTTAAAATCAATAGAAGTTCTGCATTAACTTGAATGAGATGTAGATCGCTGCCATAATCTGTATCTTGTCAATCACTTCCTACCTCCCTGCCTCTTCCTTCTACCATGGGTGCTGAAAAGATCTGCTTGTCTTGATAACTGAGGGAGGGGGCAAGATAAAGTGACGGAACCAACTCCCCTTCAAACCCCCTGCCACTTTTCAGAACTTCTGCTTCCACCTCCAGTATATAGTTGCCTGGCTGTTTACTGATACCCATAACAGGGAACTGCAATACAGCTCAACCCACAACTTAGTTCTGTGTAAGCAGACTATTAAAGGCGCCTGAAATTTCATTGAAATCAATAGCAAATAAATTGGACTAGATCCCGCTACTTCAGACTAACTGGTTTCTAGTTTGGGGTGCTAGAATATTTACAAAATACAACTAAACAACATTAAACAAGCCTCTAAGAGAGGTATAAACGAAAGCACACGTCAGTCACATGCTTTGCCACTCTGAGGCGAGGACAGTAGAAAAATGTGAGTTGTAAAAGGAACTTGCTAATCTGGCTGTCTGTCTATCTACCTATCCACACATATAAGCATAGTACATACTAAAAGTGCTCACTGTGCAAACACATCTGTATTACACTCTTCCCAGCCACCCTTTCTACTTCCCTCGGGGATGTAAACAAATCCTGAATTCTCTATTATCCATCTCTATAAAATACCTACAACAGTGACAATGTTAAGCATTTATTCAACGTACAGGAATAGGGGCTTGTTAGCTATACAGGCAGTAGAAGGAGGGGTAAAGAAAGCTCCAATATTTTTATTATTATTACTACTACTAAAGAAATGGATAGGAGCTCAAATACAGGAAAGGAACAGATGCATTTTTAAAAAATAAACAACAGCAACACAAAGCCTGATTTCTATGGACAGGTCTTCTACTAAAATGCACATTTACACCTCCCAAGGCTAGGACTTCCTAGTAGAATCTGAGGTCAAACATGCTGTGATGTCACAGGGTACAGTGGGTGCAAGCCACAGTCCCTAAAATCAATGGGAGATTTGCCATTGACTTCAGTGACATGCACTACGGTGCTGGTAGCCTTGTATTTAAAATAACAAAAAACCAACCAACCCAAGCTTCTTAAACTTAGCTGAGAAAGTATCCACAGCTCAAGAAATCAGTGTCACACGTTTCCACCCCCCTCCCCCACGTTTTCCCTATATAGTATGAAGCAAAGAAGAAAAATAACTCACCAGACATTCCAAAGTCAAATCTGTGTCACACTCACTGGTTTTTATTGAACAAGGGGACTTTCACATATACACTAAAACTCTTTTATTGCAAGTTTACAATGTTCATGTCAAATCATGTCCAAAAAACACAAAGAACCACGACAAAACGGGGAAAAAAATCTACCTACTGACTTTTCCTTCCAACTTTCTCGCTGGCTCGCTTCCTCTCTCTCTTCCTTTGAGTCCTTCTTCACATTGAAATAAACCGTAAGTTTACCAGCTACTATTAGCTCCTGTGCTGTTTTTTCCCTTGTTTTTTTAATTAAAAAAAATCTTTCTCCTACATTTATACCAAAAAAAGGAAGGAAAAAAGCCTTCAATGGTCCATTTTTTTTGTTCTCCATTTGTAAACGCACAGAGCAAAATAACTACATTCTTCCCTTGCCTGTGTAATTATTAGCATATGCCCCGATTTTTCATCTAAAACAGAACATTGTGTTCCCCACCCCAACATACACGCACAGAGACACACAGACACACACAGACACACATAGCTCATCCTTCCACTCCTTCCCTTTTTAAAAAATAAATAAAACCCTGAAAATTGCGTTTTAAAAAAACAAAACAAAACCAGCAGGTATTTCACCTGACCTCTCATGCTAATAATACATGCACCTAGAGCTTGAGATCTTTGCGGAAGACCTCATTCTTTTGTGTGTGGGTTTTTTTCCCCTCTCTCTTTTTTTCTTCTTAATATATTTAAGCACGGGAAAAACTACGAGGAAAAAAAAGAACCAAAATATATAGATATATATTAGATTCTATAAATAATCAGAGTCATATTTTTTTAATGGGGGTATTTGTTTGTTTGTTTTGCTTTTGCTTTTTTTTGTTTGTTTGTTTATAACCTTGTAATATCCTCTGCTCGTTGGTCCTGAGATGAGCTTTGCGAATGTTCTTCGCTAGCAACCGCGTTGGAAGAAGCAGGAATGGAACTGGTGGAAGAATTGGTAGGAGCCGTAGATCTCACTTTGGTATTGGGCAGCCTGTGGTCTTTTTTCCATTTCATCCGCCTGTTCTGAAACCAAATCTTGATCTGTCTCTCCGAGAGACACAGGGAGTGGGCGATTTCGATGCGCCTCCGCCTCGTCAGGTATCTATTATAGTGGAACTCTTTTTCCAATTCCAAGACCTGCTGTCTGGTGTAGGCAGTCCTGGATCGCTTGGGCTCGCCTCCATTGTAATTGGGGTTCACTGGGGGGAAAAACACCCAAAGATGAGCATGAATACAGAGACAGAGAGAAAGGCAGGGGAAGGAGAGCGGAGAGAGAGATGCACAGGGAGAGAAAGACAGATCTCCAGTGGCTCAGGGGAAAGAGAGAGGGGGAGAGAGCGAGAGAAAGGGGGGGAGAGGAGAGAGGGGAGAGAGAGAGAGAAAAAAAAGTCATCAGCTAAATGGGTTATAAAGAACCCAAGACTTTCTCTTCTAATAAGAAGGGGTTTCCCTGGCTTGAAAAGAGCCTGAATTATTTATGCACCCCTCGCGAAGCCTTTTGGAGTTTCACACATACATAACAGAACGAACCACATGGCTGGGGCTGCCCAGACTAGCTTGGCTATAAAATTTATGGTGGGTGTAATTACCCACTCGGAGTCGTAAATCCAGCTCAATTGTGCTAACCCAAAGACTCTCGTTGAAGGCAAAGGAGGAGATGGGAAAAAGAAGGAGCGAGAGAGGGAGAAGAGTGAGTGAGTGAGTGCGAGGGGAGAGAGAGAGAGCTTGCAAGCATGGTGTGAAGGGGAGAAAAACACACATACTCTCTCTCTCCCTCTCTCGCACTTACACACACACACTAGAGAGAGAGAGAGAGAGGAAGGAAGGAAGGAAGGAAGGGAGGAGAGAGAGAGAGAGAGAAAAGTTGCCTACCAGTACTGACGTGGATTTTTTTCATCCATGGGTAGACTATGGGTTGCTTAGTGGCCGTGCTGCTAGGATGCTCGGGGTTTTGCTGGTTGCAGGCTGGAGGGGCTGGGGCTGGCGAGGTGGCTGCGCTGGAGAGAGCCGTTTGGTCACAGAGCTGCTGTGGTTTCTCGGGGAGATGGTGGCCTCCGGGTGGTGGTCCATGGCCCCTTTGATGCGCTGGGGGGTTGCCGGGACCTTGGAGGCTGGCACAGCTGTACTGGCGCTCGGGGTAGCTGGGTCGCTGTGGAGGAGGTGGAGGGTACAATTCCTGGTGATGATGCTGAAAACTGGACTCCCTAGTCCGGCTGTAATATTCCGGACTGTGGTCTGGGATGTAATTATTTTGCGAATATTCTTCGCATGGAGGAAATTTCGGATCGATGTAGTTAGAGTCCATCAAATACGAGCTCATGATCATTAATTTCTGGAGTGGAAAATAATTTTTCTCGCTTTGTCGTTTTTCTGCTCCATAAAACCCTCCTACTAGCTGGCGACCCCGTAAAGTTAGTTTCACCATGTGACTATTTGCGCCAATCACGCCAGCCGAGCTAGTCCCCGGATAAGGAACCAAAAGCTTATTCAAAATGTATCCAATTTGTGTGTGCGCGAGTGTGTGCCTGTGCCTCTGTGCGTGTGTGTGTGCGATCTTGTTGTTGTTTGTGTGGTCCCCTTAAACTCAGAAAAAGAGGTGCGCGTGCGTGTGTATGTGTGTGTAAGGGGTTATCTTGCTGCCACGTTCTTTTCTTAAAAAGGCAACGTAAGTGAATGGAAGGATAATGGAAGGAAACTCATTTATTTGGCAGACAGATGGTGTGCAGGGGAAGCTCCTGTGTTCTTCTCCACCCCACCCCCTTTTTCAGGTACACAGCAAGTCCTCTCTTGTAGGGATCCAGTAGCTAAATGAGTCTTAATCTGGAAGAACTAGTAACATTTTGCACTGCAGATAGTGAAGCATGCTTGAAATCGTTCTGCTTGCTTCACCTTAAAGAAAAGCTGTAGGGGAAATGAGGTGCCCCCGCCTCCCTCCCTCCTCCCCCCAGGACATGGTTAGTGTCATTGTCTGCGGTACTAGTCTCCCCCCACCCACCTACCCCCTACGCACAGTGCAAACAACCCGAAAACTAGAAGGCAGTTCAGTATTTGTAATCCAATTGTTTGCTGAAGAGACACAAAGGAGGAGGCAGGTTACCTGGGAGGCAAGGAGATGTGGGGAGTGGGGGGGGGGGGGAGAGAAAGAGCAGCGGGATATGCAAATCATCTTTGCGTCATTTGGAGTTCTCTAGAAATGCTCATCAACCTTTGCTTAAGGGTGATCTTCTTTGGTTGCAAGAGAAGCTGTTAGTGCCTGTGAGTTGAAACAAGTAGAAGTTCCAGCCAGCCAGATGGCAAGACCACCGGCCACCCAGTGCTGACCATTTTTGGGGAGACAAAGTTTATGAGGTGCTGGTAGTGGTGGGGAACTAGCAGAGATGTGCTTTTCAGTTCTTGCGGTTAAATAATGGAAGGCTCGGTTTTGTTATGATTATGGAAAAGATAACACACACAAACATTCCCATCCAGTCTGGAGGCAGGTAGGTAGGTAAGAAGAAATATGGATCTTCATACAAGATTTACTGTAGCCATGATTTCCCCTTCATAGCCACGGATGAATGGGAAAGCATGTGTCTAAAGTCCATTCAGAACATTTGACTTCCTTGTGGAGCTTGGGGTGGTGGACAGAAAAAAAGTAAGGCGCTGTTAAATTCCTCCCCCCTCTCCCAGTATGCCTGTGTAAACAGACCCCTGGGTGGGTTAAAGAAGCTAAGATGTGATGCAAACATTTTAAAGAGTGCAGTTATTGCAGTTAAGGGCTTTATCTATAGCTTACATTAAGAAGATGGGGCACAGAGAGTCGGATTAATCCCTTGTACTGCTTGATAACAATTATAGTTGAAAATCATAGCTTGCAGGGCATTGCAATATTTTACTTGATAACAATAAAAGTGACACATAAAGTTAACTGTTTATGTTTTATTTATTAGACTAAATGTGCCAGCGGTGTCGGAGGCTCTGGGCTGGTTGTAACAGTTTTTATGGGGCTGTAAAACGCCATAAATCAGTCACTTGAAATTGTTAGGTCTCTCTCTCTCTCCCTCCCTCTCCCTCTCTCTCTCTGGCAAGGGCTTGTGTGAGCTTGTGTTTGCGATGACTGCTGTTCCTTCTATCCAAGAAAAAAGTAGCAATTGTGGATTTTATTATCAGAAGCACGCTTTACCTTCCCTGTTATTTTAACTATTTATTCAAGATCTAGCTGTAACAAAGCCCCACCACCACCACACACACTTTGAATCTGTTTGCCCTTCCTCAGAATGCATGTGTATTTTAAAGGAACTCAGACACACTCTCCCCTGGATCGCTGAAATCTTAATTATAACTCTAGCAGTTAAGGGGAGTCAAAGGAAGTCTAGGAACTCTGGCAGTCAAAGGAAGCCGGACATTAACAAGGCTCGGGGTCGTCCATATACTCCCCTAGAGACGAATTTGTGATTGAGGCGCTCACACAACTTCGATTCTACAGGGTGCATATGAACGACTGGAGAATGTGGCCTTTGTGGTACTGGGGGAAGGTGGGAAGTGTATTCCCCTCCCCCACTGATGTGTTCCAGAATGTCTTTTTTGTTTTGTTTTGGGGTTTGTTTGTTTTTCATGGATGTGGCGTGAGGGAAAGGAGAGCAGCTGTCAAGACTTCCTAAAAAGTCGTTTAACAAGCTAAGTCCTTTTCAGGTAGGGCTTGCATATTTCTGAGAGGATCCCTTGCTTTTATCAAGATGGGATCCACGCTTTGGCAGCTTTGGGAACCGAGCTATGGAAGACAACCTTCCACTTTTTTTGATAGCTATTAACATTTATGGTTCCTATTGGATTATTATTATTATAATTATTAATCAATGCATTCACTAAGTAAGTGGGCAAGTCCCTCCTTGCTGCTTTATTCTGGTGCCACCCATCTCTGTACATGGGTAGCTTTCAATCCATCTATAGAGAACTGTCAACCTGTTTGCTTATGGACTGGTTGATTCCTGAAGAGGAGGAAGAAGAGGACGGTTCAGTCTAAGAATAGAGAAATGAATGTCAGAGGTATTATTCTGGCCTTTCCCACCAGGCAAGCTTTACAACTCCTGTTCATGTTATCTCTTACATTTAACTCTGCCCGTTCAACTCATAAAAAGGGAAACTGCCATTCTTATTTTATTTTACTTTAGTAGTCTAAACTGACATGCATACTTAACAGGAATAATACTGGCCAAAGCGCGTGGATAGCTGAGGCAATTTTATTTCCTTTTGCTGTTTTTCCTCAAAAATCATTGTGAACAGTCCAGAAAAATGTTGGCACGTGTCTAGTTCTTTCCAGTGGCAGAGTGATTGTACTGCTGGCTGCTGCAACTACTATTACTACTACTGAACTCTGGGCGGATTCTCAGAGTTTTTATGATACTCTGTGTGTGTGTGTGTGTGTGTGTGTGTGAGAGAGAGAGAGAGAGAGAGAGAGAGAGAGAGAGGTCGTGTTTGCCACAGCTACTATTTCCTCATTCCATGAGATGTATAACCGTGATTTCATTAACATGAGCTCCCCTTGCGTTGCTCTGCTGCTGTTACTACTACTGGTAATAGTAGTAGTAGCAGCAGCAGTGGTTAGTATTTATACAGCCTTTTACTGATTGATTAAAGGACCTCTCTCCGTAGTCCCATTGTCTCACTTAAGCATCTACTTAGCTCTCTGCAGTTAAATTCGGTGGGATTTTAAAATGCTGGACATTGCAGGGATTGGACCCATTATTAATTAATTTCAGCATAATTCAAATTATATGAGAGGGAGGGAGGAAGAAGAGGAAGATCTACAAGTTGAGGATGCGGTCTTAAGCACACTTACTAAATGCCTATAAACTCCGTGGCTCTTACTTTCCAGTGAACTCAAAAGGGACTCCTGAGTAGGCTGCCTACTGTAAGAACGTGCTAGAAACTTGGAACCACCAGCTTCTTAAGTAGTTCAGCATTCCTGGGGGTGGTGTTTCTTTCTTTTCCTGGGTCATCCTAATAATCACCTACTGCACCTAAACCTACACTTCGATATTTACACTTTTAATTATTTGTGTAGATGCACATGAATGAAAGGGCAGCTTTCCCATTCCTGAACATAATCCATTAGAAGTTGAGTAACTTTCATAACAACAGAGCTTCCTTCCTTTCAAATCACACTGCAAATCGAGTAAGTATGCAGAGAGCCAGGCTGTATGCACAGTTACTCGGGAGTAAGTCTCTTTGAACTCAGTGACGCTTACCCCGAGTAAATGTATACACAGGATCCAGAAGCAAAATGTGAAAATAAGGTTCTCTATGTTTACGCGAGAGTTTTTTGTTTTGTTTTTTAAGTACACAGGAAGTGTAGACAGGATTGCATCTTTAATCATACACTTTTCTATTTATTTATTTTATAAAATATTTTCCCCAGTGGACTTGATTGCTCTTTCTTCATTTCACTTCGTTCCTGTGATTTAGTTTAACTGACCTTCTGCTTTCCTTGTTAAAATAGGCATTAGTCCCTTAAGTTTATATTTCTCTTAAAGCTATTTTGGGGGGGGGGGGGCATGTATTCCTCTCTTAAGTGTTTGGAAGAGTTCCCTTTTATTGTCTCTTTCAAAGAAGGCTCCAAGGACGTGTGGAAGGGGGGGAATTAGTGGGGCACAAACCTCTTTTGTCTCTCCAGTACCCCTCCCACTTCTCTCGGATTGGCCTCCGTTTCTCCCACCCGCAGAACAATGTCGGCAAAACCGGATTATTGCTATTATCATCATCGTCGTCATCATCATCATCATTCTGAGTGGCAATAGCGAAGGGAAATACACCACCTCGATTAAATAATTCCTGGCCCTTAATTCCCAGCCTAGCCAAGAAGCGGGTTGCAAAGCTGGTGTGTCTATCTGGTTACCATTTTCAGGACCATTTCTGAGTACAAAGCGCCTACTTGACAGTACGGAAGAAAAATAAGTGTTCATTGTCCCCGCGGATTCATTGTGCGAGCCATTACCATACTGACCGCTTGGTAACCTACACCTCTAGCCATTTGCAATCTGTGCATGGGGGGGGGTAGTGCCTAGCCACTGAGATTTTGCTATTTCATTGTTTAGTAATCATAATAATACTAATACGAAGCCCCTTGTCACGACAGCCACATCCTAGCTAAGGTCACACGCATAACTACCTCCCCCTAAAAAAATGGGGAGACATACAAAATGATCAGTTCATAAAAAATCGGCTGCAGTCCAACTAAAATTCACTGGGGCCATGCGGAGAGGACAGCCACCCCCCCACCAGTGTTTTAGATTCGGTGTATTACTCACTTATTTCAGTTTATTATAAGGCTTTTAAATATATAGTATTAAAATACAGTGCTGAGAAGGAAGGTTAATCTTGAATGAATAATAATAAATATATATATTCCCCTCTGACTAAATATCCAGATCCAAGAATGTATTTTCTGCATCGCCCGCCCCCCGCAATTTGAAATTGGGTTCGCTCCTAACTTCAGTGCGTGTATTGTTAACCTCTTCTAGAAAATATCAACATCCTCTAAGAAGTTCAAAGAGTGGATTTTAAAAGTGTGTATTAAGGGAAGGGAGTCAAAATACAGCTTCTTTTTTCTGGTGGAGGGGGTATATCTTTATAAAGTTGGTCTTTCTATGATACCATGAAACAATAAAAAATCAATTACACTTTCATTTGAAAACAAAAGTTAAAAACAAAAGCATAAAGTGCCACAAAATCATTGGGTGTTCTCTCCCCCCCCCCCGCTCCCCACAATGAAAAGAGCCAGGTCTAATTTATGCAAAGAAATATGCAAATGTTTAATTGATTTTTCTTTAAATCTGTTGTCACTAAAAGTAATGAGTTGGTGCAAACCGATTTGAATAACCAAAGCATGTCACCAGAAGTAAAATAATAATAATAATAAAAATACCCACAACCACATATACACACATTAGCCCTTGTAGGTTCTCCAAAAAAGCAAAAGCCTATAAATATTTATCCCTCCGTTTAAAACCCTTAAAAACGAACTCTTCCTGTTTGTTCGAAAAAGCACATATATGCAAACCATCTTCTCCTTCCCTCTTCCGCAAGCACCCCAACCCCCACCCAACCCCCATTTACCCCTCCCTCCCTCTCCCAGGAATTCAATTTTCTTCAAATCTCGTTGAAAGTGGCTTTTTAAAAAGTGGACGCATTTTAATATTGCTTAGACGGCGTGACCTGAATTTCACCTCAACTGTTTGACTTGATCCAATAGGTCACTGCCAAGGAGTTATTGATGGGGAACCTCCATTGAAATTTGTCTCCTCGCAAATGGCCTTTAGATCTTCTAGCGAGTTCAATAACTAGTTATAATGTAGAAGGGAAAAAATGAAGCCCAAAGGCAAACGAATATGATGTTTCATTTTTATGCTGGAGAAATTGTTGGTTTTTCTTTTCCCTTTCCTTACACCCCCACCCCCACCCCATCCCATCCCACCCCTTTCACCCACTCAAAACAATAACAAAATCTGATTTGGGCGAAAGCATCGCCCCGCCCGCCTTCTCCTCCCCCCTCCCCGCTAGCCCGCTTGCTTCACCCTTTCAGCTGAAGCCAGATTCGAATCTATATTGCAAATCCATTTATTTATTTATTTATTTATTTATTTATTTATTTATTTGGGAGGGCTAACCGAAGAGCTTCAGTTCATGAACTCTTCAAGACTGACCCTACTCTAGAGTCCATACAATAATTTTCAGCTGGGTAGGAATCATGTTTGCTTTACTGGGGTGTTTTGTTTAATAATAATAATAATAATAATAATAATAATAATAATAATAGACATACCTATAGCTAACAATAGACTGTATGCAGCTAAGCTTGGTGAGCGATTTTTTAAAAAAATAAACATTGTACCAAATCCCTTATGACTACATATAGATTTTAAATAAAAGGTTGAACAGTTAATCCACACGTATTAAAATGTTAATGTTAGTTTTAGCACTGGGGCGGAGTAGGATGGGGGAGAGAGACTAAAAATGAGCCAAGAAAGAAAATTGTTTAAATCTCTTTGTGTTGTATAATTTGCTGTGGATCGTTTGCATGACGGTCGGTCATTAAGCAAAGCAAGCTCATACCTGCTTACTCAGAAGCAAGTCCCATTGAGTTCAATGGGACTGGCTCTCAGGTAAAATGGTATAGGATTGCGCCTAAACCTCCTTTAGGAACTAACTGTCTGCTGGTTTTTTATACAGTTTAAAATATACAGTATTTACTTTGACTCCGAATGCTGAGTTCCATAGTATGCCGGTTCTGGGGGAGGGGCCGATCCGCTCATCACTGAAGAATGAAAACCTGTGAGGGTTTTGTCTTTTGAGAACCGAGATAAGGATTTCAAAATCGTCCAATTACAGAAACACAGGGAACCCCCTCATTCCAGCCCTATAAATACCGCTGATGCATATCTTATCACCCTGTTACAGGACACGCCGAGTAGCTTATAAGGAAAATAGGAGACTTAAAA